ATGTGAAGGGTGGAAGAGAGCCAGAGGCGGTCAAACAATGACTTGGCAGCGAAGTATGAAAGCCATTACCAGCAAACTTAGCTGCACTAGTCACTGCCATCTTCCTGGATGGGGACCCCGAGACGGGCCACATCAATGGCTAGAGACATTGTCAGATATGGCCCAGTCGCGCCCTCAATGGCGCTCGTGCATCCAAGCTATTGCCTTCAATGCACAGCTCCTTTTCCAACACCCCCCCGCTTGCCAGCCCACTGTCAGTGCTGGATTTATGCACCAATTTATCAGCTCCCGCCTGCAATGCGCAGCTACCTCCCCCTCCCCCCTTAACCATCGGTGATCTAAACGCTGGCAGCTACAACCACTGTACGACGAGTACGTGGTTATTGCAGCTGACAATGATGATGATGATGATGATCATGATGATGCAACTGAATGACGACTTTTCCATGGTCAGTCGATCGTTTCAGCTGATACAGGGCACGTCTCTTTCCGGTAGCAAAATCCCTCTCCTTCTCCTGGACTTTTGATGTCCACCAAAATTCCCGGTCTTTCCTTGGGCTTTTCACTATTTGGCTTTTGAGAAATATACGTGTACCGTCGGAGTGGTTGCCTGCTTTTATAGATTCCTTGGCATCAATCAGGAATAGCGATGTATACAATGTCCATTTCCCCTCAAGACCTCGTACAGTATGGGGTTCAAGTTGTGCTGTCCTCTGCGATAGGAGTATGAAGGCAGTAAGATGTCCCCCAGACAACCAGTATGTCCATGTTTATGTAAGCAGCGATGCTGACTTCTCCAGTAGAAGGACGGGCTAGAATAAACCGACCCTAAAAACCACACACTCCGACTGCCAAACGGTTGACCATGACCATCATTCAATACGGTTGAAATACTTTCAAAACCAGAGTCTGGTGTTGCCCAAAAGGCACTTACTGTGCTCAGGCGCTTCAGGAATTAGACGGTAATGACTTACTCTGCGCCCTCGGGTTAGGTCAACTTCCCGCAGCCGAGCAGGTCAGACTACTGAGTTATTGGCTCTGTGAATGGTCTCCAAACAAAACCCTACCATCCAATGCCTCGAGGGTTAGACTTTTGAGCTAAAGGCTCGAGGTAGGGTACCTCAATCACACCACCCTCGGCCTGGACAACTGGGGAGTATCATTTGCCCCAACAGCTCTGTTTCCAACGATGTCCTTCCCTAACCGCTTCCCATCACACAAGCGAGCGTTGCTCGGTCATTTGATTGACAGTTATATGACCGCTGTATCTTATGCACCCCGCTACCTATTTTCGATGAACAGAATAACACATTGCTAAATCCACGAGTTCTTTTCTACATAGGAGCTTTCAACGTCCACACTCTATGTCAAATTGGCAAACAGGCAATGCTCACTAACACCTTATACTCCGTAAAATGGATTGTGCTGTGTCTCTGAAACACTCATTCAAGAGCCAAAGAACTGTCTAGTCTCCCTCATTTGCCCTGGCAAACTTCATTTTGTTCAACACTTAAACGGAATCCAGGTTTCCTGATAAGTTTTGTAATTCTGCGGTGGATTTCTCACCACAATTTCCGCAAAGCGCATGCCTACAATTTGCAGCTACGTGATCCTAACTAAACATCCAACAACGTTGCCGTAGGTAAGCGTTTTGTGTGTGCAGATTTGTGAATACAAATTGCTGAGATGGGCATTCTTTCAGCGTCTGGAAACGGTACACTCTTAGCCCAGAAGTTATGTCCCGATAACGGCAGTTGTGGCAATATGGCTCACCCAAGGTTATGCATGTGCGCTCCATAGATATTAGATATAGAAGACAAAATGATATCTCCATTCTGTGTAGACCACCTTACGTAACATAGTCGTCACCTTACGGATGCTTTTACGCTTTGAATAGCCAGCTGCAGACTGGGCAGGTTGTAAAGGCATGTTGACTTTGTTAAGAAAAATGCAGTCTTCATCCAAAGGTGGCTTTTGGAATTTGCCATATCTATATCTATAGAAATTAAAATCGGCACTTTTAATGGAGTTGTCTATATATATATATATATATATATATATATTGTGACTTCCGTAGCTGTTGGCCAACCTATATACGGCGCTAAATTCATGAACACGTGGTAGTCTTCGTGTCGGTTCTGTCAGTGGGATTCTCAGTTGTTGACAACAGGAACAGCTTCTTTGGTAGATATATAAGCCTTCATACAGTTTTCAACCAGTGCTGTTTCATTGGAAGTGGGCTTTCAGAATGGCTGTGTTGGAGGTTGTTTTCCTAGCTCTCAGTCCGTTCTGAAGGAGGCTGTCGAGTGTGGACCCAAATAAATTTTCGGAGACATATTTGTGATTTGAATTCTTGGTTACAAACTTTTTTGTCTCACAGACATTGAGATCTATGTGTTTCTGACCTTATGTAACCCGTGAAGCTAGGAATTTGCAGGTCTAGCTCATTTCGAACACTCATGCGATGAAATGCGCGTTAGTATTCGACTGGGGGTTACCTATAGTAAGACGTCCATAAAATTTGTCTTGTTGTTAGCAACTATACACTCATTTGCAAACTAATTTGGTTTTCGAGAGACTTCAGCTGAATCTCTCGTTTGTGATGTTTTGTTGTTCTTTGGGTATAACTTTCAAGTCAGAAGATGGCCGATTCTCAGGGTCAGATGTGTGTGCGTAGTGTGTTTTTGGTTCCATTTTTAGTGAGAATTTTTTTAGATTAATCCGTTAAGTGTGACTGAACCAACACTATTTTTCATTTTATAATTTTAAGAAAAGTATTCCTCGTCTGCCTTATGAGACTATTTGTACCTGCGCATTTGTCGTACAACCACGACTATGCCAGTCGCAATAAATCGACGGAGAATAGCAGCTTACACTCTTGTCGCACACGCATATGTCTACTATTGGGGTTGCAAATTAATCTAGTGTATCACGCGTTCCTCGTTTTAGTCACTTGGAGCGGTGCAAGTACTGGCCGAAATGCCGCAATGGAGAGCAGTGTCCGTACATTCATCCATCTGAGCCTTGTCCTACGTTCCCTCGCTGCCGTTTGGCGTCTTCCTGTACCTACATCCATCCAACTTGTCGGTTTGATGCATCGTGTACGCGTTTGAACTGCCCGTTCCAACACACAACCAGGCGTGCAATCGAAAAGCAACAATCCAGTACGTACTCACTGTTTAGACCTTGTTTCCGCTTCGCTTTTCCCTTCCAGGCACTTTTATGTGGAAATTACCCGGCTTCGTGGACATCTCACTGTGGATGCTGGATTGTATTTTTTGCCGATAGTTGATTAACTCTTTCCCTATAGTAACTTAGTAATTTCTCTTTATAGGTCACTTCTGTGCAACTGACGTGCTATTTTGGAAAAATTACTGCTGGCTCGTCCTCGCCAGGAGAAAAGAGTATCACTATGAATCTTAGCTTCTTAGAGCAGGGTAGTCGAAAATTTGCAGACTTGGCCGCTACCAGGCATGGCGCACAAATAGCAACAAGAATATCACATATCAATGTCCGGAACTAGATGGTCTGTACAAGGAAATGCCTTCAATCTGAACTAGAGGTATTGCAGGCCCTTTTAATGTATCCTTTGCCAATTCACTCTTTAAGTTCCTTACAGTCTTCCGACGTTTCTATTAATCATATCATCCGTGTTTTCCAAGCTTGATCACCTTTGCGGTATGTATTCTTCAGTTTCAGCTGTACCGTCTGTCAATCCTAGCCAGGTCGTTTGTCGTTTCCAGAATCGTTGCACGAATGCTATATGTCCTTTCTACCATCCACCTGCACCATCCTTCCCTCGCCTTCTGGCCGTGCGCCCGACCATCGTCTCCTCCACCGCAGTATCCACCAGTCCAGTCCCGTGTCGTTATGGTTCTGCCTGTATGAACCGTTCCACATGTCCCTTCCTTCATGCGGATGTAACTAGGTCGGACAAATTCAAGTGGGTCGCGCCGTCCAAACAATCATCATCCGATCAGCCTTCTAAGACCAACCAATCCTCGTCCACGGGTTCCAGCACCACACGTCCCACCGCGGTTTCACTCTAGCGCTAGTCTCTGTATGGTTAGTTACACTCTTACGATAAGTTTCATCTGGTTTTGAGAATAAAATTTATTGAGGTACGCACGCATTCCTACGAAGAACTTCGAGCAGGGAACCCATAGGTTTATTCGGTGTACACTTTCCCTATGCGAACTCTCCAGTAAGGAGCCCGTCGGTGTCATACGGAGGTTACTTCTTTCAACCCTGTTAAAACAAAAACAAACTCCCTTTATGGGGAGCTCACCTGTTAACAGTTACACTAGACATCCGAGGAAAATAACTGCCTACTGGTGCACGTTGCTGCAGGCTTACTGACCCAATGAATAGGCCGTCATCAGTTATGTACCCTGCGTTCGACTGAATTGTATTCATTCGGAACTTATGAAGTACCGCTAATTGGGTTAAACCAAGCAATATAATTTTACGGTCTGAGTAAAACTACGTCACTGGGGATCTCAGTTCGCACACTCTAGTAAGTACACTCATTAAGCACTATTCTCTGCAAACGTCATCCGGGATTTTCGGGCGGATATACCTGGTCACATGGTACATGCCTCTAAGGCTACTAAACGGTTTGTACGAGTCTGTATAATAACATCAAATGATGGGCAATGGCCGAGCAATATTCCTCTATATATCCTTGCCATTTCTGCCTTGGTCAGATGTGGCCTGAGCTTCATAGGTAATCTGGGAATGTGCTCCTGCGAGTGGTACACACTTCGAGAACGACGGTTCGTGGAGTCGAGGCATGCGTGGATAGAAACACCGTTATGTCTTATCGTGACCGTTAGCATATTTTCTGATACTGGTAGTCCAGCTTTAATGTCTTCTTCCCTGATTTAACTCGCTTGGTTAACTCCGTTAGGCCTGAGAGACTCGTTTATGGTTCTGTACAAGATCAATGAATCACAAGTTGGTCTTCTGGTTTGTACAATGCCAGTAAATGACCAATGTCTACAGCTTAAGTTAGTTTTTACAGACTTCACAGGTAGCATACTTTGATCTACATAGGTCTCACATGTGTGATTGTTAGTTCGGCTGAAAAGTATCCATTGCACCGTTTCAGCTACTGGAGACTGTTTGTTGGAAAATGAAACAGCTTCGCCACGCAAGGATTTATAAGAAACTGAAGTGAAATTGAACTGCGAGTTTACTTCGGGCGTCTCTAACTGGCCGATTGTAGTGAACTATACAAGGAGTCACAAACAGTAACCATGATAACATTGGGTGCAATAACTGCATCTCAGAACATCGATTTTTAAAATGCAGGACATCGGTACTCCCATTGTCTTCGGGACAAGTACGGTGCCACGGTCACTGATGGGTTTCACGCAACTAGCTCCAACTACTTGAAAGCCTATTCAGTAGCCATGAGTAGGTATTAGAACAGAAATCTTGGTGTTTTGGCCTACTTCTGTTGGTCCCAATTGGCGCCTGTAAAACACGGCTCGTACTGTCAGGATGTGTCCGGACTCTGGAACGTTTTGATCACCGATTACTCTGAAGACTACTCGAAGCTTGGTGCTTGAAGAAATTGTTCGATGACGAGACCTAATGTTATGACCTACCTCAACGATTACATCCACAGTGGTTTGGGAATATGGTACACAAGAACGATGCTGAAAAGGGCGGCGTCGCTACCTCAGGGAATGGGGCCAACGATGGTCAAAGGTGATATCTCACAACTACTAAATATTTCATACTACGGTCCCGATAGGTGCCGAACCCTCAGCTTTCTTGGAAGCCGGCGTGACCGCGTCACAAAGTTGACCTTCTGGCATTCCT